AGTCGACAGCCCGGTCTTCCTCATCGAAACTATAAACCATCAGCCATATTAGCAATCTGACCAACAAGAGCGGCCTTCTGTGCTTCATCCGTCTCATCGTTCATGTCAAAGTATTGAAACCCATCTTCACTTCTGAAATCATGCTGACTGTATCCGAATAAATGAGCTAGTAAGATAGCCAAAACTGAGACGATTCGACTGTCCCGGATGATGACGATGATCTACCTGGAGACTGCCAGGACACATCCTTCATTAGAAATCCCAGGTGCACAACCGAAAATAGCTGTGTAACTGTCGCTTTACTGATTTGCCTACGTCGACCCACGCGAGCTATGGTTTTGAGATAACGGTTGTCAAACACCTGAAAACGCTTTGGTTCCGCTTCTCAAGCAGGCCAGTTCTAATAGTCACACAACAGAACAACCCATACTGCAGCCTGATACACACGTTACTTGATAATCACTGATATATTGCTTTGAGGCCACAAGCTTTTCAAACTGGCAAACTCAACCAAAGCATTGAAGGCTCGTGCACTTACCTGATCTGTCACACCGCTTCGAATGTATATAAAACGCTGCATGAAACTATCTCTCCAACGCGATCGGAGGAATACCNTCTCTCCAACGCGATCGGAAGAATACCTGCGATCTCATATAGGCTTTGTTCTGCGTCTGACGATTCCCTCGGCCAACCAAAACATCCCGCTCCTCACGGAATCGCACATACCGGCCCAATCACCTCAAAAATGTTGCCCTTACTTCTCTTGACTGTACCCAACCCCCAACTTGTTTCATTACCTGCAACTATGGGCAAACTCGCGTTCATACTGTTTTCGCCCGCCACTTTCAAATATTAATGAACGTGTCTTTTCTCATTTGATGTCACCCATGCCATCTTAGGCGTGACCAAGTCTGCTTTGAATAATGCCCACCGTATGTCACTGTCCGTTTTCCACAAAATTCCCGGTACCCACGAACCCCATGAGCCAACCTCTTATTCTGACCTTAACATGCCTGAAAGTATGCCACCCACTATTTGGGAATAAACATTATTATTAATAACTTGAGATGAGAAAAAAATATTCACCTGGCCCAAGCCGCCTCCAGGACGCGTGCAGTCTGACTTGTCAAACCATTAATTCAGATTTAATCATTTCGGTGAGTGTAGCGACCCAGTCACCCGCATACTTGACTGTTCAACTCACAGTCGCTCACTGGATCGCGAGGTTTGTCTTTTTTCTCATGCGCAAACACGTCGCGTTAATCTGACTCATCGGACATCCATTGTCTGCACCGCCTAGTCAGCGTAGCGACCAATCATGTGACGACGCGCCCACGTATACGCACTGGGACCTAAATAAAGGGAAACCGAACCCAGACAGGATACACAGACTCGCGCGCGCAGGGAGCAGGACGTCAACCTCTCCACAAGTCTACGGACAACCATGGAGTACGTGTAGCAGTCGAACTGCGGAAAAAACACGTTCCCGCCGTCCGGACTTCCACCAAGGGACTCTCATATACGATAAGTTCCCTTTTTGACTTGCTCCCATTCTCGCACTGTATTTATTTTTATGCGTCGCAGAAATACTAAAAGCACACATACACTTTCTGATTTGTATTATGACTATCACTACCTGTGCACTAATATGAGCACCCAGTCTGTGCTTTACAAAGAGGTTAACATTTTCCGCACATTTCGCGTTCTGACTTGTGCGTTGTCACTGTTGGGAGAATCAGCCCTGAGAGTAACGGGACTACATGACTGACAATCTAATAACCGTTTTTCGTTGAGACGGATTGATTTCATTGGTTGTTCTTCACTCGCCATTGACAGATGAGTTGTATCCGTACAACTTTTGACAGCCTGTAAGCAACAGTGATCAATAGAGCAGCTTGCTGGCACGTCCAATGACTTCTCTGGTTTGACCAAGCACACATGCCGATCAAGCGGCTATCCAGACGGAAGTCCAAAGTAATAAAGAGGCATTGAGCGACTGTGACCCACAAAAAGTTAGCGACGGAACAATTGAAAATCCAACTCCACAGTGCCACTTTCACATGAAGAACCAATCTTGATCTTGCAAAAGCACCAGACAAAATTAGGAGAGTCTCATCTGAGGTTAGTCGAATCAACCCTTCACAAATTAGAAATTCGAAGCCCAGCTACAACTAGAAAGTGGAAGTTCTCTGTTGGCGCCGTTGCGAACAGTATAGTTGGATTTCAGTACGATGCAGAATCCAATTTCACCTTCGAACCATGGTTTTGAAGATACGAAGACATTTTCCGACGGAATCTGCGGACTTAAGTGATGGTTTTCAATCATGACTGTCACTCCAGAAAGTGAGAGTAAGCAAGCCTCACAAATTTATTAATTTTATCCTCCCCACATCTCCGAAAGAGTTCTTATTTGATGAACTTTTACAACTTTTGAATGATAATTTCGCGAATCGTCTGCTTTACTGAACGTTCGCGACAACACTGTAGCCGGTTAAATCAGACAGTGGTGAGTATCTTACGTATGCAGGCGTAGTTAACCATTAGCGTGAAAGATTCAACCTCCAGCGTCTGCTTTACTGAACGTTCGCGACAACAATGTAGCCGGTTAAATCAGACAGTGGTAAGTATCTTACGTATGCAAGCGTAGTTAACCGTTAGCGTGAAAGATTCAACCTCCAAGAAATGACAGAGGGCCAATTTAAATGTCTCCTCCTTATCTGTGAGCTACAGTTGCCACGAGATGACGAAATTCAACTCGATTGCCAAGCAAGATTGAACAGTATCCACTGGCGAACCTAAACGGTTAGCACAGACTGCGTATGTTTGCTTAATCCCAAGCACGACACAGCCATGATAGGACACAATAATCTATCTCATTCCGGGCATCTGTACACGGTTTCGAGGACTATGCAAAGGCCAGGTAAAAGAAGCAATCGGTGGAGTTCAGTGAGCCAGTGTATTGGGGCGTGAATTGGAAAATCATCACAGTCGATTTGCATAATGGTTCAGGTATGATGTAATGGCCCTTCGGGATGTTTGACCACATCGACAGGAGGAGACTCGGCGGCATCAATCCTGGGCTATCAATACCATCCCCATGCCGGACAATTGCCGTCAACTCAATTGAAACCGAGTCACCCCTATAGATCATCCAGTTTCTACGTTAAATAAGTTGCACTGGCAGTTGAGATCTACGGTGGTTGATGAGCCTTTGCGGTCATCATGATGGATGGAAAGTGCACCGTCTTCCTGTGCCCAAGCGGAAATTTCGGCTTCAAAGGCTGCTGCCTGTCGGGTTCTCTTTCTGCTTGAGCGAAACCGCCCCGGTTTGAGGTATTTGTGCGTCGAATTTAGGCGAAGAATGTTTTGCTTGCCTCACAGCCCATGTATTCGTGATAACAGATTAGGTGCTATTAAGGAAGAACTCCGAATCTGCCTCGACATCCACAGAAGTATGGCATCTTTATCTGCCCTTTCACCAGAACGAAAGTCATTCCAGGAAACATCTTTATAAGCTGAGAGAATTTATGTGAATAAAATGAGGTCTCCAGCCTTCAGAAGCCTCTCATTGTGTCTTAAAATTCATGCAAGTTAAAATACCAAGTGTTGCGCCAAATCGTTCGGGTGCTTTTGGAATGAGTTTTCGCGACTTGAGAAGCCCGAAATTGAAGGAACCTATACGGAATAGGTTCTTGATACGGAAATTTTGACGATCCCGAAATTCAGAGAGAAAAATTGGGCTCGAAGATCTATGATACTGTTGATACAGTGGTACACAAAGATACGCAGCAAACCTCAATGTCCAATTCCGTGACGACAACAATTACACGAGTCCAATCGGCACAGTGTGGTGTGAAGGTCAGGATACCAAACAGTTACGAGCGGCTTATTGTCTCAGTAGCGACGGACGCAGAAGGGACGGGTGACATGAAATTTAATAAGAACATGCCACTGAATGGTTGGGCTTTGAATAAATATAGCATTCCATATTGAAACACATGAGCCTCAAAATTTAGCAGAAGTTGGAATGTAACACACAACAGGACGCCTTGGAAAAATAGAAAAATACTGCATTTGAAATTCGCTGCTGATCTCTGACTTGTATTAGCATGTCCACTCACAGAGCCACGTTTTTCCAACAAGTAAGATTCAAAGAGAGTCAATGTTGCCCAACCAAGCAACCGATGCTTTTGCATCTGTGTTGAAGAACTTTTTTCTTCAATGCAGTGTAAGAAATATCGATTGGAGATTCAGGATATACTGAATTTTTGATCAAAGTATATGCCACCTTGTCAAGGACAGGGGGATAAAACCGAGGATAAGTTGGCAAAAAATTCATTTCCTAAGACCCCATTGAGTAAGGATGAAAAACAAATAAGATTCCATATCAACAGCAGTCTTCACTTTGAGAATATGTCTGATTAGGGAGCATGTCCAGATTTCGAGAAGAGGCCTCTCCCAATCAATCAAAACTACAGTTTCTTGGGCAGTAGCTGGAAATATCAGCAATGGGCGTTCAATTTCTGTCAGTGTAGGTTCACACGGAAGTAGAAATGTGATAAATTAGTTTCGCACGTGTATCGGAATAGCCGGATGAACTAGAAATCCAGAATTCAGATCAGCGCAACAACTAGCACGTATGTATTTGAATTGGCGTATATGTACAGCATATGGAATATTAAAACAAGAGAATAATGAATAGAGCAACGAACAGAGTATCAGTCATGTCCCCCCCGGTAAAAGAATCTACCGAACTATCCCTCTAATTCCGCTCTCTGGAACCTCTGAGAGCAGAAAATCGAGAGCACACTAGTTCTTGGACCTGCATGACAAACAGAGGCTTTTTGCACTACGCGCCATTTGCTAGGTTGTATTTGTTGTTCGCTTGGCACAGTCAGATGTGCCATTTTGGAGGCTCCTGAAAGTTTCTCTAAAGGGACAACTACCCCGCACACAATCATAAGTCGTTTTTAGAAGAATACGACTGAAGTGTCTTTGCTTTGTTAAAGTCATTTCCGTGGCACTGCGATGCGCGCGCGTGCGGTACGCTCGATTCTCGCCTTCTAACCATGGCTGGGGTCGATCATGCTTACCAGTACTCAGTGGAGGTGAAAAGCAGGTTTTCATTGTTCTTGGATGATCCCTTGAGCAATGAAGATCCTGATTTGCTACAGAACCGGATTCTGAACCAGCGGCAAGAGCGGAAAAAGAAGGACAAGCCAGTCACCGCGGTCGAAGAACCGAAGTTGGCTGATTCGTTACAAGAAAACGAAGTAAAGCCAGATGACGCGGGTAGCAAAGGTAGGTTCACCCAACGTTTGCGCTCACCCTAGTACAGTTAAAGGTGCAGGAACACCAAAGCAAACCAAAACATCTCAAGCATCAGTCGTGGTCACCCCAAGCGAACCGGTCAGTGAGCTACCGTCGAAAACGTCTGAGGAGCACATGGAGCCTTCCGCTCCCCGAGGACGCGGAGCGCCACGTGGATTTGCTCGCGGAATGCGAAGCAGAGGATTAGGCCCCCGGGGGTTTAATGAGGGACCTCCTGCAGGTGACTTTCAAACACAAAGGTAACCTTGCATACTGGGTGGGTTATTCTTATCTTTTCCAAGCCGGGAGATGCATTTCGAACCACGTGGTCGTGGACGTGGCCGTGGAGGATTCTCAAGAGGTCGGGGTTCCGCATATACCGATCACAGGGAGTTCGATCGATCTGTGGGTTCGGACCGAGTGTAAGTTTTCCCGTTGGTTGTGATGAATTGTTATCCCTGTCCTATTCGATGCGGAAACGTTTTTCCTGATGCGTTCTACTTTGCAGTACGGACTAACACCGAATTCCTCGTTTTCAGGGGACCTCGTGCTGGTTACCAAAAGGAAGCCGCCCACTTTGCAGACCAACCGACTGAAGGTGATAACTCTCAACAAGCCCCTGCGCCAGAGGGCGGTGACGTTGAACGGTCAGAGGTAGAAGATAGCGAAAAACATGAAGAGTTGGTCAACGGAGAAGCGGAACCAGCTGAGGAGGAACCAAAGACTCTGACGCTTGAGGAGTACAAAGCGTTGCGTTCTAGCACGAAACCAACTGTGGCACTGGCTTCAAAAGGGACCCGTAAAGCTAATGATGGAAAGGATGTTTTCGCAAACATGGTTCCACATAGGAAGATCAACGAGGTTTCTGATGAGGAAGTTGAAGAAGTGGAGAAAGAGCCTGAGGTAAATTGTTCCTTCCGATACTCATGAACGCTTTAACTAGGAGGAGCCGGTATTCGAAATAAATGTGTCATTCACGGACAGGTTCTCCGAGCGAGGCAGAGGGTCTTACGGAGGACGAGGAGCCTTCGATCGCGGGCGTGGGGCCCCCGGGTTCCGCGGAAATAGCGGAAGGCCAAGAGGTGGTCGTGGTGCGCGTTCTGGATTCAGAGGAGCCCCAAGGGGACGGGGTTTTGCTAGAGGCATGGGCTTCGAACATCAGGTTGCCCCTCCAATATACAGTGACCAGGACTTTCCAACTTTGAAGTAAGAGTACACCTCACATTTGTCACAGGTCACTCTTCAATTTGGAGGCTTTGTTGGCTCCTAAAGGCTTTTAGTTTAGCCTTGACTGCTTCTCCTTTGCCCTTCCTTCTGAATAGATGCATAACTTAAACTTCGACGCCAACCATCCCGCGTCAGACCTGTAATTAAGGCAATCATATGTGGTTGCCCCGCTTTGTACATGAATAAATACCGTTTGTCAATGCGTGTATGTTTTCCTCATACGTCGCCCTCTAGTCCAGCCCACTGCTAGCTGCGGAAGTAGTTTCGACTCCTTGTTTCCAACAAAGCATCTGTGGCGTACCCTAATTACTTTTTGATAGTCGTTCAGGCATAGGATTATGAGTAAAACGGGTGAGGCTTTCGCTTCAAGAGTCATGTTCTGCCGCACTGACTTTTTAGCATATGGTTAGTACCGATGGGCTCGCTCAGTTCATCCTCTTGATTTGTTCGAGGTTTCCGAGCCTATGTATATCACTTCCTTCCAGGGTCTCGTTGCTGGACGAAGCAGTCCTAGATGTTAAGAGATCTCGGTAAAGGATTGACATTCTTTTGCGGACCTTGCACGGAGGTTTCCTTGATGTATGCAGTTGAGTCTCAGTCTTACGGTGCGCAACACTCATCTTTGGTGGATTCACGGTTATAAAACCCTCTGTGGCTTCGCGTGACTGGCGAGCAGCATTTGCTCCCTCGCCAACGCGTCTGGTGTCCAGCGTATAACGGCTCTTCTGGTATACGCTGAGTGGTGCAGGTCCGAAAATGGACCGGTGGTTTGAAACCATGCCGTTGAGCATTGGAAATTCACGGGCTCTGCTTGTCGGTTACGCGAGAGGCGTCTAGCACAACGAGGCGCTTGGAAATACGACTTCGGATTCAAACAATCCGAAGTGTTCGTTCCCTAAAGCTGGATGTGGTGCGCGGCTAGCGGAGAACTCCATATTGAGTGGGATAGAGTAGGAGAAGGAAAATACGGGAGTGTAAGAAGGGAGGCTAGTTTTCGCTTATGCGACGGCCAATGTAGCATGAGGGTACTGTTAGTTGTATATGAGCTGAAGTGCTGCCAGGGCACCAAAACCTGGACAAGGGGGTCAGGTTTCTCAACCAAGGCCTTCAAAAGCCGAGCCGGACCGCAAGACCGGGTTTGACGGAAAATGCAACTGGCTTACCATTTTTATGGAACCTTTCCCNAGACGGGTTTGACGAAAAATGCAACTGGATTACCATTTTTATGGAACCTTTCCCTACACATGTTCTAACCCTCAATCTGGGGGGTCAGTAGAATGTTCATAAGACCTCGAAGCATTGACCAACCTGGTATGGTGGATATCCCTCAGTACATTTCAATGTTTCACGGAGACATTAACCTGTACAGAATTTTAGGGTCCGCCGTTTTAGTGGCTGCAGTGAATCACCGGTGTATTAATGGTGATACATTGAGTTCTCGTTCATCCGTCAACAATAAACCGTTTGATGAAAAGAAACCTAGGGCATAAGTACGGCAGTTAAGCATCGGTGTCAATGTTGATGTTGCTGTACTTGATGATAGAGCATAAATCACTAATTGGGACTTTGAAGTAAGTCTATGCTAATAGTGTTCGTAACATCATTCAGCAATCTGTTTGGGAATACACGGAATCTTTGCAGGCGCTTGTTACTTCATAATGATCACTTTTCTGTTGGTCCCACGGGAGATGACTTCCCCGCAGAAGAAGCAACAAGATGAAACTTGGGCAGACAGTGAAAGCCCAGTTCTGATTAGACTATTGAGCAAATCTTGTGGTACATCAGCGGAAAGGTTTGTCCAGTTGACCGAAGGCGCGCGGGGTCACCAAGTCATGCAGTTGGGATGCTCCAACAGTGGGGGCGGGGGTAATTTAGTTTTTTTTCGGGAAGGCTGCATAACACCAGGTATAGCTGAACGCTACGGTGGGTTTCGAGGTCATATCTGCGTGGTAATTAACTACCTTCAAGTGGTGAGAAACATTTCGACCCGCGATACGTAGACGAGATCATTCTCGCTTTTGAATAGCGGGAACCGCAATTCGTATTCAATGGACCCAGTGCTCCACTTGCTACCGTAAGGCGATGTGGTTTCGAATCCGATTTCTGTCTCTCGATTTCCGTTGTCTAGGTCTTATCTGGTAGTATCCCAGCCCTCGTACTTCCTGGTGGCATGGTAGTTGGTCGCTGCAGCTGGACGTAAGGCGACGAAAGCCAAGTGACGTGGGAAGTCGTAAGGACTCAAATCTAGCTGATCACTCGCACTCACTAAGAACCTCTTTTTCCGAAGTACGTTTACCTTTTCTTCAGTCGCCTGGGACAAGCGTTCTGCAGTCAAGCAGGACTTCCGCCCCATCCTTGGACAGTGCGAAAGGTCATCCGGACCTGGAGCTTGGTGGCGCTTTAGAGAACCATGCAGTCATGAATCAACATCCTGTTGCAGTTCTGCGAATCCAGCTGTAACAGCAAGTGTGGCCACGTATGTTCGGAGTGTCCGATGCAACGTTCGAGGCCATCTTGCCCCTTTATATGACCAGACTACGAAGTACGAAAACACTAATCAGTAAATTTAATCGGGTCGTCAACTGTCGTCTTTCCGAATGGGGACCTCCGCAGTCATCTCACTAATAGTTAATTACACTGGCATTGATGGTCCAGTCGCCTTAGTGGCGCTTGTGCATCAATGCTATCGGCAAAGATTCCTGAATCTCGAACTAATTGAACATTCGTCTCCAAAGCTTGGCCTACATTGTCCCATTTCCAGGTGATCGAGACTAGCAGCTGGAACTGATGTGCCTATGGTACACAGTTTATAGTTGTCAAATAGATTGGTTGATTGACTGATTTCGGCCCTTGCCTGTATCGCTCATAGAGGGAGACCCGTCGTGCAGATCAGCGGGAGTAATTTTTGGACATTCTTAGTTTTCTTAACCTCTTCCATCCCCTTATTCTTCCGTTTTCCCCAGGCTTGACAGTCGGTGCGCTCGCTGAGTTTCAGCTGAGGCCTGATTGATAGTCGGCTTGAATTATGTTCAGGGTGGACGAAGACTTTTCTCTGATATCCAGGCTTCGTCGTTGTATGTTCAGGTTTTGAGCGAACCCGGTAGCGTTGTGCAGATGTAGTCGTCTCCACAGCGCCCAGGGCTCCCTAACTTGCCAAGGGCTTGTTCATAGCTTTTGAAGGTGCTAAGCACACAAAGGTGATATTGTAGTAGTCATTTCGTCGACAATGTTTGTTCTCGTTTTCGAATATCGTCCACTTTCTCCAGATTGACGGGTTGAGACCCACAGTTTTACCGCTACTGGATTTCGAAGGCGTATTCGACTCAGTTGACCGGTTTGTGCTTGCTACGACTGCACAGCAACGAATGCCCCGGAGGTATGTGAGCGTAATGAATCGTTTGGTTTCTCAAAATTCGGGGATGGAAAGTGTACAAGGGCCTCCGTCCGTCAAGGTGCCCACCCTCTCCGTTCCTTATTTAGTTTCATGATCGGCGAGGTAATGGGACAAACGTTGTCAGCTGTAGTAACCTTTCAGTGGTTAGCTGTCATGCCATCCGAAGAAAGCACCGGGGTCGAGGTGCAGAGGTCGGGTTCGAACTACGGATCTTCTACTCATTATCAATTAGCCATATCGAACATTGAAAAATCAACCCTGGTGCTCAAAAAATGCAAACGAAAACGATTGTCGATCTGGAATTCGCAGACATCATTCTTGTTTTTGAGAAGGCACGTGTTTTTGGATGAACCAAACAAAGTCATCCTGTCCTCTGGCACGCGGTTTGCACCGAGAAACCTTAAGTCCATGTTTCTGGGCGTGCGGTCACTGTGTACGCCACATACAATCCGAAGAGGCACTCGAGATTGTGGAGCGTTCTTGGGAGTTATGTTCTGACCAGGGAGGGGCAGTTACCCACCCGACTTAGTTTACTGGTTGGTGTTTTCGTATTTCCTCATACATCGTCCACCTCTCGGTCGCTTCCACTCAGCACAGGGCTGGGAGAAAGTTCTGTGAGGCAGACGGTCTTCTGGCATGCGGAGTACATATCCCAACCAGCGCAACGTATGAAGCGTGAGTAATTCTGTCATGATTTTTGTGTGCTTATTCTTATACTTACCATATATACTCGTACTGAACTTTTGTATGTACATTTCAGCTCATGTGTGCTTGTTCTTAGACAAGTAAAGCGTTGCTTATCTTCGAAAACCTGGACTCTGTTCTAACTCGTTCTCGGACACTTTCTAAACGTCTCAAATTCATCTGTCGCGGGAGAGTTCCTTCTTATGACCATCTGTTGTTCCTCAGCATTACTATTCCGATTTTCCCACCGGACTTGACTAATGCCTCCGTGACACCGATGATCAAACATATCTTCCAAATGTCCTCTGCACGTAGGAGTCACGTCGGTTTCGTAGGTAGGGGAGTTATGTCTGTCAGGCATGGCCTCTGCGTGCTGCCGATAACCTTCGTTCGTGTAAGGTGGTCTGGCGGATTCGTAAGGGGACAATAAGAAAATGAGCTTTTGCTTGTTCAACATGGAATTCAGTCGAAGAATGCGTCCTGCACCAGAAACTGCGTTGATTGAGTAATGCGTCCCACAAACCGAGGGGTGCTGTTTTACGCGCCTAGTTCTGAGTGGCGTAAACAGGTGGCCGACCCTTTACTTGGCAGAGAGGTATGCTGCTGTTGGTGTGACTAGCATTTCAGGTTGAGGAGCGCGTTATTTCTACTGCGCTTGGTTGGGAGCGCTGCAAAATATGGCTTCTAGTCTATGTCAGTGGCGTTCTTTTCGTTAATTCCTATCCAGATTGCCTGAATGAGTAAGAGTGTAGGCATCTCGGGATGATTCCGTTTCGCTATCACTAAGTCCCTTCCCCGTCCGATTTTCTTTTCGCAATAAGGTTGTACGTCAGCGAAACATCAGTGTTGACCACCTCCATGACTGGCCCTATTATTTCGTCAAGCGAAATCAGAAAGTGAGTATC